CCCACCTTCCTGCACTCGTGCTCCCACGAGGAGCCCGAACAGTTCATACACTTCACTAACACCTTCCACTCCAACCTTAAGTTTACCTGGACCATCTCTAACACTCTCTCCCCTTCCTGGACCTCTCTGTCTCCATATCGGGCAACCACCGAGAAACCGATATTCATTTCAAGCCCACCGACTCCCACAGCTACCTAGAATACTCCTCCTCCCACCCACCTTCCTGCAAAAATGCTATCCCCTATTCCCAATTCCTTCGCCTCCGCCGCATCTGCTCCCAGGATGAGGCATTCCACTCCCGTACATCTCAGTTGTCCTCGTTTTTCAAGGACCGTAACTTCCCCTCCTCGGTGGTCGAGAACGCCCTCAACCGTGTCTCCCACATCTCCCGCACCTCATCCCTCACACCCCGTCCACGCAATAAAAACCAAAAAAGAATCCCCCTCGTCCTCACGTACCACCCCACCAACCTCCGGATCCAACGCATCATCCTCCGACACTTCCGCCATCTGCAATCCGACCCCACCACCAAAGACATCTTTCCCTCCCCACCCTTATCTGCTTTCCGGAGGGACAACTCTCTCCGTGACTCCCTTGTCCGCTCCACACTGCCCTCCAGCTCCACCATACCCGGCACTTTTCCCTGCAACTGCAGGAAGTGCTACACCTGCCCCCATACCTCCTCCCTCACCCCCATCCCAGGCCCCAAGAAGACTTTCCACATCAAGCAGATGTTCACCTGCACATCTGCCAATGTGGTATACTGCATCCGCTGTACCCGGTGTGGCTTCCTCTACATCGGGGAAACCAAGCGGAGACTCGGGGACCGCTTTGCAGAACACCTACGCTCAGTTCGCAACAAACAACTGCACCTCCCAGTCGCGAACCATTTCAACTCCCCCTCCCATTCCTCAGACGACATGTCCATCCTGGGCCTCCTGCAGTGCCACAACGATGCCACCCGAAGGTTGCAGGAACAGCAACTCATATTCTGCTTGGGAACCCTGCAGCCCAATGGTATCAATGTGGATTTCACAAGTTTCAAAATCTCCCCTCCCCCCGCCGCATCCCAAAACCAGTCCAGCTCGTCCCTGCCTCCCTAACCTGTTCTTCCTCCCACCTATCCCCTCCTCCCACCTCAAGCCGCACCTCCATCTCCTACCGACCAACCTCATCCCGCCCCCTTGACCTGTCCGTCCTCCCTGGACTGACCTATCCCCTTCCTAACTCCCTACCTACACTCACCTTTCCTGGCTCCATCCCCGCCTCTTCGACCTGTTTGTTTCCTCTCCACCTAACCTCTCCTCTATCCCTCTTCTATCCGCCTCCCACTCTCTCCCTATTTATTTCAAAACCCCCTTCCCCTCCCCCTTTTCTGATGAAGGGTCTAGGCCCGAAACGTCAGCCTCTCTGCTCCTATGATGCTGCTTGGCCTGCTGTGTTCATCCAGCCCTGCACCTTGTTGTCTCAGCTGTAATGCAGTTGGCTTGCAGAGGAGAATTTCTCAACATTGTCCCACGGCATATTTGACCCAGAATCCCATTGTAAGTCCCGTATTGCACCAATGTAAGAAAATATTTGAACATTTCTCACATCCATCCATCAGCCTGCCTGTTTAAGATAGCCAAATGTTGTAAGTCCTTGGACAGCTGTATTCTTTGAGTCCATATCTGTTAAAGATTTATAGACACAAAGGGCCCTTAACAAATAGCAGACAGAGAATCTTTCTGGATCATTAAACTCCACTGGGATATACTTTTTAGAAAACAGCTCAGGTCAACAAGTGTAATAACATCCCACAAAACTTCCTGTTTGAGGAAGAAAGCTGAAACTGAATTGCTGCTGGGTTATCAATGTGTTTTTACACCAAAGTATTCAGTCCTCCTTTTGTAAGTACACTGGGTCAGCTCTAAAGCCAAAAATGTTCCAATTCTATCAGAATTCATTTGTCCTAGTTGCCTTTTACATGGGGATAGTACTAACCAACGTGACCAACTGTGGATTCCCACAGAAAATAATGGAAACTCCTTAGTGTGTAGCTGGGAAACTTTTATATGATAACTTGATACCTGGGAACAAGCCAAATATCAGGGGATCATACATCAGTGAAAGCTAGGGCAGTGATCGAAGGGGGAAATCTTGTTTTTTTTTCCCTAGGAGATAGCAAGAACTGCAGATTCTGGAGTCAAAGTCAACACAGTATGGAGCTGCAGGAACACAGCAGGCCAGGCAGCATCAGAGGAGGTGGAAAGTCGGCGTTTTGGGTCAGGACCCTTCTTCAGAACTGCTGAAGAATAGCTTTCAAGGTTGTGAATCACACATGTGAATCCTGCTTTAGCTCACCTGCAGTTGGTTCATTCTTTTTTTTTTGCTCTCTGTCACCTCTCCATTGTTGAAGATGCTGACAGAAGATGGTGCGTTGTTGCAAATGTTTTATGTTCTGTTAATGCCAGCCCAGGCTGCGTCATCACAAACAACAATTTCCAAATACACGGCACTTTGTCACAAGAAAACATCTCAAAGTGCCTCACAATAGGCTTCATGGAACAAAAGTTGACACCAAGCCATATAGGACGATCTCAGTTTAGGTGATCAAATTCTTGGTCAAAGAGCTAGGCTATAAGGAGCATCTTAAAGGAGGAAAGTGGGAGATGGAGAGTATTCCAGAGTTTTAGACCTAAAACAGTGAAGACCCTGTCATAATGGTGGAGCAATTAAAATGAGGATGCTTAGAAGAATGCAGATGTTTCAGAGGGTTGTGAGATTCAAGGAGATTAGAGAAATAGGAAAGGATGAGGCCTTGGAGGGATTTGAAAGTAAGGATGAAGATGCAAAAATCAAGGTATTGCTTGAACTGGAGCCAATCCCGGTCAGCTAGGCACAGGACAGATAGTAGAATGGCATGTGTTGCGGGTTAAGATGCAGGCAGCAAGGTTAAATGTTAGGAGTACAGTGGCATAAACAAAGGGTAACTAAAGTGTTTGTGAGGATTTCAGTAGCAGATAATCAGAAGCAGCAGCAATCTTATGGGTTATGCAGTAAACGGTCTTGTGTTGGCATGAATATGGAGTCAGAAACTCGCCTTGGGAAAACTATGGTACCAAAGTGGAGCTCAAACTGGCTTAATCTCAGACCATTGCTAGACAGATAGGTGAAGCTAGGGAATAGCCTTTACACTGGGAACTGAAAGCAATGACTTCAGTCTCCCCAACAAGTTATAGGAGGAAATTTGAATCCGCTATTCAATTATCAGGGCACTGCAATTGTGTCGTCACTCCCATTTCTACACAGTCTCCAGCATAGGTCAGAATGGGAACCTTCTCTGACACTACATTAATGCCACTCTCTAAGGGGAATGCAGTGCCAGTATCTGAGCTGGAGGCTGTGGGAATGGGATTGTTTGATGCTGTTTCAACATTGCCAGCCTTTCAGTCCTCACGCACTAGCAGCTGGTGAGTGACTGAAAGGAGAAAGGCAGTAGAAGAGTTGGGTTTAAGAGGAAGAAGGCAAGATGTACTTACCTCGGCTGCTTGTAAACCAGAAAATATCGTGGAATGAGGGGAAAGTGAAATGTGAAAGAGTGAATTGAGCATGAACATAGCACTATCTGCTGCTGACCCCAGATTCAGTCTTGGCCACTTCAGTGATGGCTATCATTGTCCCCTCCATCACAATAAGAACATGCATTTCGATCTGTGTTTAGATGTTGTGGCTGGTTGTTATTTACCCTTGATCTGTGGGAGGGAGGGAAGTGTATCAGTGAGTGTGGTGCAAAGTGTTTGAGCAATGTGGTCACTGTTGACTATCTGGTAGCGTGTGATCTGTGGATGTGACACTTGCAACAGCATGAAATGTGTGAAGATGAAGCAAGTCTATGACTGGGTGGTGTGAATTGTGGTTGATAGAAGCTGTTTGTTGATGAGGAAAGGTTCTGATGGAGACTAGTGATTCATTGACAAGACTATGGTTTTTCACTGGCCTTGCTCACTTGCATGAGGTCATAGAAACATGGAAAACAGAGGCAGGAGAAGGCTATTTGATCCTCTGAGCCTGAGCCTGATCATAGTTGATCACTGAACTCAGCATCCTGTTCCCACTTTCTCCCCATCTCTTTGGCCTTAAGAACACGTTTATTGATCTTTTGGCAGTACTGTTTCCATGTTCTCAGCACTAGATGGCTGTCTTTGAGCCTATCTGTTCCCACTGCCTTCACTTTGTCCCTCAGGACAGGCCATCTCTCTCTTCTTGTCCATTTCCTGCACAAAGGCCTCCAGTGTTGTGCCAATAAACCTTGCATCCACTCTGTATCACGTTCATTTCCTTTCACGTCAGATACTTAAGGGGATTCTGGTAGATGCTGCAGTCTCTAAGTAGCAGAGGCTGGTTTCAAGTGGTGCTAGCTTTACGTGAATCTCCATTCCCATATGAGGTCTGCAGCAGTGTGGTTGGCACTGGCCTGCGCACTGCTGTAATTTAAAGCATGAAGTTGGCACATGGACTGAATCATAACAAACAGACGCAGGGTAGTTGCATATCACAGTCACTGCAAAGCCCTGTTGTAGGACTATCTCCATCTTCTCTCCCTCGAGTACAAAAACCAAGAGGTTGTGCTAAATCTACACAAATTACTAGTCCCAATGCCAACTGGAATAATGTGCTCAATTGTAGGAACTACACTTTAGGAATAAGCTAGAAGCTACAGAAGAGATTTACTCAACCGTCCCAGGAATGAGGGACTGTAGTAACCTCAGTAGCTGCAGAGTTTTGAGTCGTTCTCCTAGGGGTGGGAAAGGTTAGACATAGACTTGATTTAAAATCATTTAGAGTTAGATAGATGGAGGAAATTATATGGATCTGTTTATAATGGCTGAAGGGGCAGGACATTTAAATAAAGTGAATGACAAGAGAACCAGAGGAGAAAATTTTTCCTTACAAATAAGTGATCAGTGTTTGGAATGCACAATCTGTTGAAGGGTAGATGTTGTTATGTACTTACATTGTTATTGAATTGAATTAGCTTTATTGTCACATGTACTCAAATGACTACAGTGAGAAGTTTATGAGTTGCCCCTCACAGCACAATCTTAGGTACAAAGGTACCTATGTACAGCTTCTTCAGATACAGATTAGTTACAGTGTAACAATGTCACCAAAACACAAAGCCATCTTAGGTACAGAATGCCCAGGTACAATCCTTAATTACAGAATATAGAAAGGAAGAATAAAAAATGCTACATTATAGTTATACATATTCTTGGTTAGAAAAACTAGAAGCAAAGTTAAAAAGACAAATATCACAGTCTGTCTCCAAAGGATCTCCACAGCCGACCAGCACGGGAAGCCTCCAAGTGGTCTGATTACTGGCTGCCACCATGCTCCCTGTGTGGACCACTATCCCCACTCCCACACCAGGCCACCGTCATCACGCTCTCACTGGCGCCCCTTCCTCGACTGCCGACCAGATGCCAGAAATCAGAGGTCGGGATGGGTTGTCCGAGGCCAAGAGCCCGTGAAGAACAGAAGAAAACTACAGCAGGGAGGCAAAGGTGGAGGGAAAAATAGGAAAAGAACAGGCGGAGTGGACAAGTTCCGGCTGGAGTGTCCTAATCCGCCGCCATTTTGGCTTCTCCATCATCCAGCTTCAACATCTTTTGTAAATCCTTGGATTATTAGACCATGGCTCGGATAGTTTGTCCAATTCTGGGCACCACAGTTAGGGAGGGCATAAAAGGGGAACATAGAGAAAATTAATTCAGTGATACCTGGCTTGAGATATTTCATAATCTGGAGAGGGTAGATATGCCGGTGTTGTTCTCTTTAGAGGAGGAAAGACATTTAATCACAGTATTCAAACTTACCAAGACAGTAGCAAGTATTATGCTGGGTTGTAAGGGAGATATTGTTTCCATTGGCAACACAGCAGAGTCAGGAAGTAGATTCCATTCAGGGTTTCCGGTGCAGTTACATCGGAGCAGCTTGTTGTTTAAAGCCAAAAATATTCCTGTTGTTACATAACAGTGCATCGTGACAGAACAGCAATGATCTCATCTGTATTTTCCTCAGTTGACGGAAGCTAAGTGACAGGATGAATGAATTATGTCATCTCCGCTGCTTGAATACGAAAAGACGTCGGAAAAATGCCCTCATTCTTTTTAGTCAGCTAAATAGTTATCTCCTGAGCTCACTTCGCAACACTGTTCACGTGTGTTAGAAAGTCACTGAGGTTCAGCCTCGCACTGCTCAAGCATGTTGAACATTCCAGTGCAACTCTGGCGAATGCTCTGTTGCTAGAGGTAGTGTTCCTTAGATCAGAGGGTAAATCAAAAGTCCTGTCTACTTGTTCAGACAGATGTGAAAAGTTCATAGGCATAATTTGAGAGTTAACAGGAAGTTCTCCTGTATCTAGAACCAAAGTCACTCCCTTAACAAGAACAAGCATTAGTATTCATTCATTTGAATACTGCATTGCAACAATCTCAGTCCAGGTATATAGTGGGCTGTTAGTGTTACTATTAACCTAAAGTTCCGCACTTCTGCAACATTGTAATTCTATAGAGGGAGAAATGGGAAAAAGCCAGTAACTGAGCATGGTTATTGATGTTTTATGATGACTTATGCCTACTGTTGCAATACAGATGAACATTGTGTTGCCTACTGTTTTGAATGTTAGTGGCTTGTAGCCCAGTGTTGTTGAGTGGCTGCACACCTCGGGGGGGGGGGGGGGGGGGGTCTCCAGTTCATGCAAGACTTCTAGAATGAAAGATTGGTCAGCACTCCTTAAAAGACAAGGTGCATTCTCATGCAGCAGATGCTGGAAGAGGCTGGGAAGGTGTTTGTTAGAATAAAGAACGCTTAGAATGGCAGCACAAGCCCTAAAGTCAACTGTAAGGTGCTCCAATTCGGTGTTAAAGGCCTTTGAGCAGAAAGTTAGCAAGAAAAGAGAGATCCTTTTCCTTCAACAGACAAGAACAGACAAGTGAGCATAGGAAAGTAGATAACTGCAGTGGCTAATGCAAGCAGCAGAGCCTGAAAAGCTGGATGAAGTGCTGGGAGAAGTTTAATGATCCCACATGAATGGTCCAAGTCAGTGATCCATCTTTACAAATGCTTCCTTAGCCTCACTCACAGCTCCATTCACCACTCCACTTCAATCATCTATCAATCATCTCTAACAAACACGACTCAGACCCAACCTTCGTAGCCTCACCTGACCCTCACACTAGGAAAGCTGCAAGACTCTCACACACATCTCCCAGTTAGCTATTCAACTGTGATAGGAACATCACCTAAACATTTTGCACCACAGACATCAACACACACACCTCTCCTTTGCTGAATAGGGTGGCACAAAAATCATAGGCAGCAGTGCCTAACTCGTTGGAACAGGCAGAGCTGCATTCCCTTACCACAATGGCAGAAATGGTGTTTACCATCATCAGTGCAATGAGGACTGAAGCTACTGAAACAGAACTCTGTTGCATTTTATACCTTATGGCGGCGACACCTGAAAACATGTCACCTTAAATTTTACAACCTATATGTTTTTTCTTAATTTATTCATTTGTAGGATGTGGGTGTTGTTGGCTGGCCAGCATGTAATACCCATCTCAAGTTGTCCTTGCGAAGGTGGTGATGAGCTGCCTTCTTGAACCGCTGCAGTCCACCTATCGTGGGTTGACCCACAATGCCCTCAGGGAGGGAATTCCAGGATTTTGACCCAGCGACGGTGAAGGAACAGCAAAATATTTCCAAGTCAGGATGGTGAGTGGCTTGGAGGGAAACTTTAAGGTGGTGGTGTTCCCATGTGTTGTGCATTACTTAAGATTCCATTGCATTCTACACAGCTCTTGAGTATCTTCCCGATACTTGTCAGTGTAACCCTCATTCCTCTGATTTCTCTGACTATAAACCATGCGACTGAACTGCTATTGATTCTACAAGCATCACTCTAAACAGTCTTACCTCTGATTTGCCCTTCTCTTGCTTCTGCTTGGGCCATCTCTTGATAGTCCAAACAATTATGATTCAAGTGAGTGCCAAGTCCTCACCATCCTGGGACAGCCTGGCAATGCTTTAGCAGTTGTTTCTGGCTCATTGTATCCTGTTTTTACCTTTGGTTTAGACCAGCACGTGTGTGCATTAATTTTGTCCTTTGAAGAAACATGCATTTAGCCATTGTAACTTGTGAGATGAACATCTCATATTGATGAGAAGGGATGAGTCTGGGAATCTTCCTTCTAAGCAGCGTGGTGTGTAACCAATGACAGAAATTGCACCAGAACCAAAGATACCTTGGCACGATTCTAATTGATGTTCATATTCACCAAAGATGTTCCTCTCTGAGGCCACCACTTCCTTCCGTATGGGCCATTGTTTCCTTCTTCAATTTTGCCCTCGACAGAAGTTACTGTAATATTTAATAAGTTGAACCTATGCTGTAATTCAGAAAGAACTTCAAGTGCCATGTGCAACATTGCACAATTGAGTTAAAAAGTAATTGTGCTATCAAATATTCCCAGGGACAATATGATGACTGCCTAAGCATGATATGGAAAAACAAAATGCACCTTGGATTTTTGTAAGACAATCAATAAGGTACCACACATCGGCTACTTAATAAGATAAAAGCACATGGTGTTGGGGGTAGTGCATTAGCACAGATAGATATTTGTCTAACTTACAGAAGGCAGTGAGTTGGAAGAAGGGGAATATTTTCAGATGGCAGCCTCTGAAGAGTGGAATACCACAGGGATCAGTAGTCTCAAAGAGTCTACAGAAGGATACATACAAGTTAAGTGAGTGGGCAAAAACTTGGCAGGTGGAATTTAATGTGGGAAATTGTGAGGTTGCGCAGGAAGAATAGAAGAGTTGAATATTGTTTAAATGGAGAAAGATCTCAGAAAGCTGCAGTACAAAGGGGGTCCTTGTACATACATCACAAAATCTAGCATCCAACTTCAGCATGTAACAAGGAATGCAAATAGACTGTTTCCTTTATTTCAAATGGAATGGAGTATGAAAATAAGGAGGTTCTGCTAAAACTATTCAAGGCATTGGTCAGACAACACGTGGAATGCTGTGAACAGTTTTGGTCCTCTTATCTAAGGAATGGTATACTGGCATTGAAGACCGTTCAGAGAAGGTTCATTGGGCTGATGCCAGGTGTGGCGGGATAGTCTTATGAGCAGAAGTTGGGCTGGTACTCATTGGAGTTTAGCACAATGAGGGGGAGATCTTATTGAGACACACAAAATTCTTTGGGGACTTGACAGGGTATAAGTGGAAATGTGGGAGAGTCCAGGACCCAAGGGCATACTCCCAGAGTAAAGGCTGACTCAATTAAAACAGAGATGAAGAAGATCTTTTCTCTCAGAACATAGTGAGTATGTGGAATGCTTTACCACAGAGTGCTGTCAAGGCTGGGTCATTAGGTAAATTTAAAACTGAGACAGACAGATTTTTGATCAGTAAGGGAATCAAGGGACATGGGGAAATGACAGGAAAGTGGAAGTGAGGATTACCAGATCAGCCAAGATCTCGTTGACTGGTGGAGCAGACTCAATGGGTTGAATGACCTACATCTACTCCTACATCTTATGGTCATATATCAACTTTCACAGCCTCCAGATGTGGTAAGACTGCTACTGTTTTAGCCAAGCCATGTTCCTAAATATAGATTATTTGTTTTACTTTGCAACAGAGGACAAAATCTGCAAATTAAAAAAAAACACATTGCAATCTGACAGGCTAATATTACAGACAGAGAAACTGGAGGGCCTTCAACAGCAATCAGCTGAAATTATGCAGGGTTTTGACCGATTTAATAAGGACAAATGGTTTCCCCTTGCTGGGGGCTCAGAGAACTTAGGAAACTAACCTAAAGAGATTTTCTTTCTTGATCAAGTTATGGTCTTGAAGGTACAGGCTGAAATGGTGGAGGAAGTTGATTCTACACTACTTTAAGGGCTATCGGGAAAGAGTGGGGCAGTGGAACTAAATCGAACTTCGTTCAAAAACTCTGCACAAATAAAACGGATCAAATGAGCTCCTACACTGGAAGACAATGTGAGTTGGCTTTCTGTTATCAGCTTGGATTAATCTATATGATGCCCACAAAGATGGGAGGAGTGCATTATCTTTCTCTTGTCCCACATCTCCATTGGTCACAACGCAAATTCAGTTGTTTTACCCAGTTCCCATTTTTTCCGATCTAATGGTTATCCTCAACAGACTTAAAATAATCCATTAACCAGCTTCCTTTAATAAGCACAACATTATTATTTTATTCTAAACTAAATTTATTAAATGAATATGCAAAACTGGTTAACACACTTAGTTTATAAAATGAAAACATAAATGTTAACCTCTCTTATAACCCAATCCTGAGTAAAGAGAAACATGATGATTTTCTTTCTGCAGAGATGCACTTTTGATAATTGTTTGGCAATGAGCCATTGATCTTGAATGAAAAGGGATAGCTGTAGGTCTGACATTCTGGCATGTGTAGTCAAGAATCCCCAAGCATTGACAGCTTTCTCTGGGATATTGGCTGGCAAGCTTCCTACATTACAACTGTAACTCCACTAACACTTCATCAGCTTTAATGTGATTTGAAACACCCAGTGGTTAGGAAAAGCACGATAAAATTGCAAACTTTGCACTCCCAGATGGGATGTCGAGTGTAGACTTCATGAAATTTCAGGCCTGTGGCTGAATGGATCGTTGGGTTTCTTCCTGTCTGCCAATGTTTGCATATTTACAGATATCTGTCATCATCTGCCTGCTTGTCAAGTATCTTAAAATTTGACTGCTCAGGGAAGGAACTCTTTGTCATAAAAGGCAGTGGATACTGAGGGGCAAATGGAGCTTTTAGAATAGAGATTGATTAGTTCATGATAAGTAAGACTACAATGGATGTGGAATATATGAAAACACAGCTAATGTAAACACCATGTGGAGCTGGAGGAACACAGCAGGCCAGGCTGCATCAGAAGAACAGAAAAGCTGACATTTCCGGTCGGGACCCCGAAATATCAGCTTTCCTGTTCCTCTGATGCTGCCTGGCCTGTTGTGTTCCTCCAGCTCCACACTGTGTTATCTCTGACTCCAGCATCGGCAGTTCTTACAATCTCTGATGTAAACACCAACTACAATCTACTTGAAAGGTAGAGTTGACTTTAAAGGCTAAACCACTTGCTCCTGTTCCTAATGTTGTTAACTGTCTCAGTTGATTTCACACATACGACCAATTAAAGCAGAGTGTACACCATTCACACAATCAAGTGAGATTAAGGAATA